GCTGGAAAACCATCCAAGGCCAAGCCCCCTCCCCGCTCCCTGCCGCCCCCTCCCGCCGCTGGCATGCTCTGGGTGGCAGTTTAAAGAGCCTGTTTTGCTGACAATAAAAAAACAGGTTTGGGGAAACCGTAAAACTGGTAAAACAAGAAAGGTAATATTGGGGCAGGGCTACGCCCTGTGGGAAAGGAAAGGAAGGATGGTCGGCTAGAGACTAGAGACGTGTCACGTTCTGTCGGGAGCAAGGGCCACCTTCAGTTTAAACTATTAGAGAGGCCACCATGTGCTTGGGGATTAAAGTCATCCTCTGGTTTTCCTTGTTACTACTGAATTCGCACAAGCAGATGGAAACATTCTGGAAAGGAAGGCAAGGGGGCGGCCGAACTAACCTCGGCTCTGTCTGTGTGCCTGGCCCTCGCTATGTGGCTCTGGGCAAGTCACTTGGCTTTTCTCAGCCTGGTGGCCTTGGACTGCACCAAAGACAAACATAAGACCAGTCGCTTCGGCAGTCATGTTGAAACGGGCGTCAGCCTAGCTGCCCCCAGAACACCTGTTTGCACAGGCCCTCTGGGCTGTGGGAAGTAAGGGACTGAGCCCGGTACAGTTAGGTCCCTTGTCCAGAGCCACATCAGAGTTGGCCCGAACCCAGGCCCAGCTGGCTCTGGAGCACTACGCTGCTTCTCCTCTAAGCCCAAGGGGCCCGTTAACATGCACTCCCGAACTGCCTTCAGTGTGCGCGTGTATGTGTACGGAGAGGCGCCCTTCCTGCTGGTGACTTCCTCTGGGTGCCGCACGGAGGTGAGCTCCAGGGCCCTTCTCCCCTCCGTCCCCCTCTCTGCTTCTGCTCTACTCCCAGCTCCACAAGTAGGCTTTCGTCCGCACAGCTCTGCCCCACAGTTGAGCAGAAGCTCCGTCCGTGTATGGTGGTGACGACACAATAGTAAAATCTGCTGTCGGGCCAGCTCCTGCTGACCACGGTGGCCTCATGACCCATGTAGCGCACTGTCAGGAAAACAAAAAACAAAAAGGCTTTCTCCCCGCCACCAGGGCAGGGCCTCTCAGAACTACAGAAGAGCTGTTTGCAGAGCCAAGAAAACCAAGCAACATTTTTCTGCATCTCAAAAATGCATGTTGAGTGACCTGAATCATGGGGAAAAGCTATGGAACCAGCCGTGCTCAGTTGAAGGCAGGCTGTTTGCAAGCCCTGGCTCTGTCCATATCTTCTCCGTTGGGAGGCTGTGCTTGAAAACCAGCCGCTGGCAGTAGTCACCACAGCCAGAGCTCTGAGCACCCGCAGCGCACGCCGGACGTCTGTCCCCTCACAGCATCCCTCAGGGAGTCCTGCGGGTGTTCTCGCTCACACACAGGGAAGCTGAGGTCCAAGCCCCTTCCCACGGCCCCTGCCGTCTTGATTGCAAGGTGGTTAGAAGCAGCGCACTGGGTCAGCCCCACTGTGAGAAAGCGGACAGAGCAGCTGCCTGGCAGGAGGTGCGCCTCTAGGTTCACATTTCTACAGCTCGTTCACGCGTGTGCCGCGGGGGTCCCACTGGGGTAAGCACTATACAGCAAGCACCCGTCGGGGACACAGCAGGGGGCTGAGGCTACCCGGTCCCTGTCCTCTCACAGCTCAAGTCTATGGGACACATGGATGGAAAACAAAGAGTTACATTTGTAACTACAATCGCTGTAACGCCAGAGTGGGCTTGGGGAAAAAGTAGAAGAAAGACGTCTGGCTTTTTAAAAAATCTTCACCCCAGAACATTTCTTCATTGCTTTTAGAGAGAGAGGAAGAGAGAGAGAAACATCAGTTGGTTGTGTCATATATGTGCCCTGACCAGGAACTGAACCTGCAACCTTTGAGTTACGGGACAGTGCTCCAACCAACTAAGCCACAGCAGCCAGGGCAGAAGTATGACTTTTATGAGCAGGAAAAAAAAAAAAATCCTGATATGGTTTCTGACATTTCAAGTGAAAAATTTCAACATACAACAAAGTTGAAAAAAATTTGCAGTGAATATACATATACCTGCTGCCTGGATTCTACCATTACTGTCTTACTGCACCTATACATGCCTATAGCCACCCATTAGTCCACCTCATGTCTAAGGACACTGCACTTTTTTGAAAGCCGAGGTTGGAAAGCCATCAGCTGGGACTATGAGCAGCCGCCCCTTTGGAAGGATTGGCCAGTCCCCCACATAGCCTGTCTGGCCTCTGTGAGGTAGGAACTGGCAGCCCCTGGCCGCGCAGTCACGAGAAGGAGACAGCCGCTGGGAAGGAGAGCCAGGCTTCCTGCATCACTGTTGACGTCTAGAGTGCGCTGTCCTTTGGGGGAGCCAGTAGTAAGTGTCCCGGGAGAGAATACATTCCAGGGCCAGCAGATTGCATGACCCCTCAAGGCAGGCCTATGCACGAAGGGGCCAGGGACACATCAGGCAGGACTCAGCAGTGGGAATAGTTACCTCATGAATGCGCTCAGCACACCCGTCCAGGAGGCCAGGGCACTGGGATTGGATGGCTCAGGCCGCCGCTAGCCCAGCACCTCAGGCCGCTCCTCGTGGCCGTCCTGGGGAGGCCTCATGGAGGGAGGTTTGCTCCCTGTTGCTGAGGGGAGCGGGCTCCCTGCTCAGCCTGAAGATTCTGTGCTGGGAGCTCTGGTCCCGACAGGGGGCCTCAGGAGGGGAGTAGAGGTGTCAGGGGAGTGAGCAAGTGTGTTCCCTCTCAGTGGAAACTCGGGGACCTGGAAGCTTCCATGCACAGCGTGGTGACACCTGGGTGACATTTGCTGGACCATGGAGCCTGACCCTAGTCGTAATATGAGGTCACAAAAATGATCAAAGTTCATTTATTGAGTATGCACGCCCTGGGCGTTCTGCTAAATGGATTCAATGCACCCTTTTTCATTCGTACAAGGCTATGAGATAAGTACTGTTGCTGCCCCTTTTGCCATGGGGGGAGACTGAGGCACACAGGCCAGAGACTTGCTCAGCCGGGGGGTGGTCGGGCCAGGAGTCAAGCCTAGGCTGTCCCTGGCCCACCTTCTTTCCATTCAGTTATGGGTTTGTTTGTTTTTATAACGTCTAATGCTGTTTCTCCAGTATACCTCTTTTCTTAGCTGTGATTAGAATGTTCCAGATGGCCGGCCAGGTGTGCTGGGTCACCTTGGATGGAATTCTGCCTGTAGATGTCCCGCCCCACATCCTCGACTCCCATATGGTCAGTTGACATGCACACTGGGGCCCCTGCCTGGCCTGCGGGCAAGAGAAAGTTGGCACTGGCGTCTTCCTCCTGCGGGTTTGGTACCCACTGTGCCTGCTTGGGCATCTCTGTCCCCTGAGCTCTGGACTCAGCAGTGAGGACAGTAAGTAGGGGCTGTGTGTTCGGGCTCTGAGGGCAAAGCCCACGTCGAGCCTGCTCAGGAGAGGGCTGGCCGTTCCCTGTATGGTGCCTCTGTGCCGAGACCTTAGCAAGGAGCTCGGACCCGTGGGATGTCTCTGGCCCCTGGGAGTCAGGAGGGTCACCAAGGAGGGAAAGGAGCAGAGGCAGGTCACAGGCTGCTCGCATTTCATGTGGAGCCTCGAGTTCCAGGCACGGCCAGTTTCTAGGCCTACGTTTCATTAACTCAAAGGTGACACCTATTTTAAGATGCTGTGTAGTTTTATGAGCTGCCAAGAAATAAAGATTTGGCTCTGACCAGGCAGCTCAGGTGGTTAGAGTGTAGTCCCAATACACCAAGATTGTGGGTTCGTTCCCCAGTCAGGGCACTTACAAGAATCAACCAATAATGGAGTGGCGTTCCGTAATCCAAGGGTTACAGGTTCAATTCCCAGTCCCAACGTGAATGGGAGACAACCAATCGATGTTCCTTTCTCTTCTTTCCTCTTTCTCTTACAGTGGTGAAAAAATGTCCATGGTTAGAATTTTAAAAAAAGTTAACCAATGAAAACATAAATAAGTGGAACAACAAATTCTCTCTTTTCTTTCTGTCTCTCTTCCCCCTCCTCTGCTTTCCTCTCTCTCTAAAAATCAACTTAAAATTTTTTTTATAAAAGAAATGAAAAATGCCATCAACGAAGAACAGCATTCTGATTCCAAAGATGAACAAATGTGTGTCCTGCGAGTGGACTGTTTTAAGTCATCCTTGTAGCACCTCTGTGATCGGTTCCGTTGTCCCATTTGCTAGATGGGAAAGTTGATGCTCGGGGAATGAAGGGATACTCACCCAGGCCCACGTGACCAGTACGTGCAGAGTGGGGTGTCGAGGCCAACCTCACGCTCTGTTAAGTGACCGATGCCATTGCTGGTCTGTTCTCTTAGGCTTTTATGCACAGCCTCAGGACCATGGAGCCTTGGGGTCGTCAGTTCATTTCTTCCATATAATGTATAAGCTGGTGAATGAGAAGGTCCTCTTGAATAAATCTGGCCCCTCTTCTCCCACCTCCTGTGATTCCTCAGTCTGCCTCCTGGCCAGCTGGTTAATTCGCAGCGATCCGCCTTGTTGGCCAAGATGGGTTTTCAGACCATTAGTTCTGCAAGATATTACGCAGCTGTGCAGTCCAATATGGTAGCCACTGGCCCCATGTGGCTATTTAAATTCAAATGAATGAGAGTTAAATAAAATTACAGATTCAGTTCCTCCACCTCGCTCACCACATTCCAAGTGCTCAGTGGCCCCACGTGGCCTGCACTGAGCACAGAGTGCTTCTGTCGTCACAGTGAGCTCTATGGGGCAGCTCTGTTCTAGCGCGGAGGGCGCTGTGCACAGAAGAGTCTGCCGCTCCCCAGGGTTGTTCCAGCTGCATTTTAAAGGCTCTGGCGAGTCCTGCAGTAAGACACGGGTCTCTCCTGGAGCCCAGCACACCAAATTTCCCTGTCCAGGAACATTTTTCACACCTATAAGCAGCTCTGCCTTTGCCTAAACACATCAAGCGCCACCCCCTCCTGTCCGCAGGCCTCATGGCCCTTGTTGGGAACCTGAACCTCTCTTCTCACTTTCTCCCCAGATTGCCTGGGGTCCCCGGTGTTTACACCCATCAAGGCGGACATAAGTGGCAACATCACGGTACGTACCTGGCCCGGCAGCAGCAACCCTGGTACTGCGTCAGGCATCTAAACCCGCCCCGAGCCGCCAGGACCCGGCCCCCTGCCGTGAGCTCCCCAGACTGAGGGATGGTGAGGAGCCACAGAAAACGGGGCTTGAGGCTCTCAGTCCTGGTGTGTGGTCATGCCACCTGGTCGCAGCCTGACCGGGGCCACAGTCTGAGGGTTGGCCAGAGAAGGAGCCTCCTGGTTCTTGTATCCACCACACCAAATAACTAAACTCTGAAGGCTGTGGCGCAGGGCCCAGCACCCTCTCCCTTGGTCCTGGGAGTTCTGGCGCCGTCCCTAGCCCCTGAACCTCTCTTCCCCTGAGGATCCTCTTGCCCAGCCTGGGCCTGGGCTGCGCTGCATTATCACGTTTCTTCATCCCAACAGCAGCCTTTGAGCTGGTTCTGTTGGCATCACCACGTTACACATGAGGGGGCTCAGAGAGGTTGAAGGATTCGCCTGAGGTCACACAGCAAGGAAGTGGCATAGGTGGGGTTCAGACCCAAGCTGCCCGGCTCTGCTCAGGCACCTTCTTTCTGGGAGTCTTTGAACCCTAAGAGCACATTTCCACTGATCCACACAGGCAAAGCTTCAGATGCTTGGGGCCTGAGGCGCTGTCAGCGGTGGCTGGGGAGTGTGGGCCTAGGGCCAGCCCGCTCGGGGGCCCGTTCCCGTACCCGGCGCAGACTGGTCCCACCTGTGGCACTTTGGGCGCATCGCGGCCCCATTCTGAGTCCCAGTTTCCTCACCTGCAAATGGGGATCTTGACAGAGCGACGTCAGGGCTCGCAGAGCACCTTGCAGTCCCCGCTCATGGGAGGTGCACGATACCTGTGCCCGGTCCTGGTAGCCATTGTTACAACCAGCCCTGGGCTGGTGCTGCAGGAGGAGAGGGAGGCCCTGGCGGAGCGCTCCCCGACCCTCGTGCCAGCCGCTTGTCTCCGGGGACAGCCTTTCCAATGAGAAACCCCATGTGCTCCGTTTCAGAAAATCAAAGCCGTGTATGACACCGACCCGGCCAAGTTCCGGACCCTGCAGAACATCCTGGAGGTGGAGAAGGAGATGTATGGGGCAGAGTGGCCCAAAGTGGGGGCCACGCTGGCGCTGATGTGGCTGAAAAGGTGATGGGCTTGGGCGGCAGGGTGTGTGTGGCTGTCGGCCCCGGGCCTGCACTGCCAAGGGGGACATCTGTCCCTGCCATGGCCCCGCCAGGTCTGCTCCGCTGGGGAGGGAAGGTCGCCTGCCTTCTTTGACAGAGGTGCCCTTCTTACCTGTGCTAGTTAGTGGCTGAGAAAAAGTGCCCCTGGGGCCTCGGGCCCCCCCCCCCTTCCGCCGACATGGCAACACTTCCTTGTCCCGGACCGGTGGGTGGCATAGCAAGCTGGTACACACTCCGGGCGTGGTGCTCAGCTCCTTTTTTTTTTTTAATTGATGTTTTACAGAGAGAGAGAGAGATGCCAATCTGTTGTTCCACTTATTTATTTAAACCACCCTCCGCTTTACAAAAAGATTTTATTTATTTATTTTCAGAGAGAGGGGAAAGGAGGGAGAAAGAAAAGGGAGAGAAACCAATCAATTGCTTCTTACACACCCCTAACTGGGGACCTGGCCTGCAACCCAGGCATATGCCCTGACTGGGAATCAAACCAGCAACCTTTCGGTTCTCAGGCTGACGCTCAATCCACTGAGCCACACTAACCAGGGCTGTTCCACTTACTCATGATTCATTGTTTGCTTCTTGTATGTGCCCTGACTGGATGTTGAACATGCAACCTTGGTGTGTCGGACAACGCTCTAACCCACTGAGATACCCGGCCAGGGCTGTGCTGAGCTCTTTATAAACTTGCATTTCATGTGCTGTGAGTTGGGTGTGGTGTGATCCCTGTCTCACAGAGGAGGCTACGGGGGCTTCTGGAGGCCAAATCATGTGCCCGGGTCACGGGGCAGACCTGGGACCAAGTGGCTGAGTGTGGCTCTGCAGGTTGTGCACTGCCCAGAAATGTCCTGTCTAGGGCTGGTCACATCATGCACATGGTAGATTTGTAAGCTATGGCAGCTTGTTGACAGAAATACAGCATCGCGAGGGGAAGGAACTCTTTTTAACGTGCACATAATCATCCCGTAGGCTGGAAGCAGGGTCCCCTGATGAGGGGTTTGCGCCCACACGATCTTACCCCAGAGTTGACAGCGCTTGTAGCCACCACATGTGCTGCCCTCAGAGCAAAAACTTGAACCCACGGTTAGCTGTTCCCGTCTCGCAGATGAGGCCACTGAGGCTGAGAGAGGCCAGGCACTTTCTTGCTTAGCTCGCACCGCTCCCTGCCAGCCTCTCCTTTAGCTGTGCAAACGCTGTAGCCCCCGGCAGCCACCCTGAAGCCAGGGACCCACTCCCTGCCCCTCGGGTGTCCCAGCGTGGCCTGTCCAGGGCCTGGAGCCAGGAGGGGTGCCCCTCCCTGTCCGTGCCCCCACCGCAAACCAACCCCCTCGCTCCCCCACACATGCACTTCTTAGGTGTAGTGGAACAGAGAGGGCGTGGCCGTGTGGGCATCGGGGTAGGTAGCCCATCATGAACACCCCTCGGTGTGTTTCGGGAGTCGCCCACCGAGCTGCCCACCTCTGGCTGTCAGGCAGAGTCCTAGGCCCACACGCGCAGTGAGGCGTGCCCCAGCCTGTCCACCGCAGGACGCGCGGCTCTCCCCGGGGGGCAAAGCAGATGAAGACATGTGGATCAGTTAGAGCGTCCCGGCCACGTCAGACGTGGGCAGAGCCAGGCCGCTGGGAGGGCAGTTGCAGGCAGATGCCAGCAAGTGGAGCACATCCTGAGCGCCTGCTGTGTGCTGTTTGTGGTGCCGGCCGAGTCGGGTGCCATGTCGGATGGGGCACAGGCCCTCCTAGGGCCTCGCAGTCTGGGCAGGGTGTCAGGCTGGGGATCAGAGCCTGGAGCAGAGAGGTCAGGGAGGGTCCCAGATAGACTAGGCCTACAGGGGCAGGAGGGCAGAAGAGGCCTGGCATGTCTGCAGCTCCACGAGGAAGCGAGCAGGTGGGCCCGGACCCTATGTGCCAGTAGGACCATGCTCAGGGGCCGCCACCAGGCTCAGCGTAGACAAGGAGCTTGGGAGATGCTCTCTTGAGCCAGGGGTCACCTGTCATGGAAGCCGGGTGTAAAGAGAGAATTTGGGGAATGAATGAGCACCCCCTTTTGTGTGTACATATTCCTGGCTCACAGTAGGTGCTTAGAGGGGTTGGGGTTTGCCACGCGCAGCGGGTGCTGGCCGGTCCACAGGCAGGAGCGGCCAGTGTCCTGAAGAGCCTTCTGTCTCCTCTCTGGGATGCAGAGGCCTCCGCTTCATCCAGGTCTTCCTCCAGAGCATCTGTGACGGCGAGCGGGACGAGAACCACCCCAACCTCATCCGCGTCAACGCCACCAAGGCCTACGAGATGGCCCTCAAGAAGTACCACGGCTGGATTGTGCAGAAGATCTTCCAGGTGAGCCCGCAGGGGCTCGCTAGCTTGTGGGGTCCGTTCCCTGCTCTGCCACTCCTTAGCAGTGGCCCCTCGGAGCCTGCGTTTGTCCCCTGGGCTCAGGAAGGGCTCCCCTGTCCATGAGGGGGAGGCGGGTGCACTGAGCGGCCCTCCCACGAGCACGTGCCCAGCCCCATCGGTGGCCACGGGGGGCGCCATGCTAGATTCTCCTGTTGAGGTGCCTCGTCCTGGGAGGACTAACCGGGTGGGGGTGGGGGGACGTGGGAGAAACCCTGGCCGAGGCTCTGAGGACCTCAGGGGGAAGGTGGGCTGACGTGATTGGCCCATGAGATTCAGCCTAGACCCTCACCCTGGGCAGGGAGGGGAAGGGGGCTTCTGCTGAAAGGAAACTGGTCCATGGGGCTCTCGGTGGCTTGTGTTGGGGTGACGTTGGCCACTGTTCCTGGAAACAGGCTTCAGCACCAGCCTTGTTACCCGAGGGGCCCTCCGGGTGCCGGGCTGAGGCCCACTTGGGAGATGTTCAGAGGCCCTCAGGGTGCCCCACACGCAGTCACTGGCCACCCCGCCTCCCGCGGCCTCCTGGTCTCGCCCAGCCTGTCGTGGCCCCTCCTCCTGCAGCTCCCGCCGCCCGCCCTGCCTCACTCCCGTGGGAACCGGGGTTCCTCTTTCCCACACGGGACAGGCCATGGGCAGGAGGAGCCAGTCACCCGGTGGGTGATATGGGCGCCTCTGGGCCATCTGCCCTGGCAGGGCTGGGGACAGGGCCCATCCTGGTGGGAACCTCCCTCCCTTCCCGCCCCCAGGGGCTGTGCAACCGCCACCTCTGTAAGAGCGGCATGTCCCCTGTGGCGGGCCCAGGGCGGGCTGCCCATGGGTGTCACCTTTACCAGTGCACCAGGGGTGGGCACTATCCTTACCCCCACTTCACAGATGAAGAAACTGGTGCTCAGAGAGGTTCTCTTGCTCAAGGTCACACAGGAGGAATATGGGAGCTGGGATTTTACGACCCTGAGCCTCAGTATTTTCATGTCTCTTTCAAATGTGTATAAAGCAGGCCCTGCCTCGGAGGGTCATGGCGGAAGTGAAATGAGTCAGTCAGCATCACATGCTTGGCACATGGTGTACACTCAGCATATCGAAACTGTTTCTATTTCTTTTCATAATGACAATATTATTATTTGTCATTCCCTCACCCCATCAAACTCATAGCCTTTCTAACTGGTTGCATCTTATCCTTCTGGCTCTGAGATTCTCTAATTTTCTGACTCTCTGCACTTTTCCAAGTGTCAGGAAAGCTCTGAAATTTAGGCAAGTGTCACCTCCTAAAGGACAAAAGAGGCCACGGATTTACTGGTCCTCTCGCCTGCTCAGAAAGTGGGTTTTCCAAAGAAGCAGTTTACCTTCTCCAGAGCAGGCTGACCCAGAGGGGAGGGGTTCAGCCATGCCAAGCACCTCCTGGGTGCCAGGTGCTGCGCTGAGCACCTCCTGTGTGCCTGGTGCTGTCCTGAGCTCCTACTGTATGCCTGGTGTTGTCCTGAGCACCTCCTGTGTACTGGGCACTGTGCTGAGCATCTACTGTGTGCCTGGTGCTGTCCTGAGCACCTACTGTGTGCCAGGCACTGTGCTGAACCCTTTGTACAACCTTCTTAATCCTCACAAGAGCCACCCAGTTAGATGGCTGCCATGATCATGCCCATTTTACAGATGAGGAAACCGAGCTCAGAGAGGCTAAGTAACTTGCTCAAGGCTCACAGCTAGTCGGCGGCACAAGCTGGAATTTGAACCCAGGTCTGTTTGTCCCTAAAGCTGGAGTTCTTCCTGCTGTCCCTCACGGAGGTATAGAAGGGAATACACATCGCCCTTTGCCTTTTCCTTTCCCTTCCAATGCCACGAATAGCTTAGACCCCTGCCCAGCAGGGCCCCTGGGGAAGGCCCCTCCCAGAGCCCCGCCATGCCTGGCCTGGTGGGCCGAGTCCCCCTGACACCGCCATCTCTCCTCTCGCCCGTCTCAAGGCCGCGCTGTATGCAGCACCCTACAAGTCCGACTTCCTGAAAGCGCTCTCCAAGGGACAGAATGTGACAGAGGAGGAGTGCCTGGAGAAGGTCCGCCTCTTCCTGGTCAACTACACAGCCACCATCGACGTCATCTACGAGATGTACACCAAGATGAACGCCGAGCTCAACTACAAGGTGTAGGCGTGCCCAGTGGCGGGCACCCCGGGCCACCGCCGCTGCGCACGCGGCCACGCGCAGAAACAGACAAACCAGAATCGCTGTGAATCCAGCTGGCGGGCTGCCCCCGGCCTGTGTCCCCCTCCACGGCCCAGAGCCTGGCTGGGGTCTGCAGGGGAGGGCCTTGGCTTGGTAAAAGTCATTTTGGGGTCTAAACTAAGGGAGCAATAAATAACGATCCTACTTCTGAATCACCTTTGAATTTCACAACAGCACAGACTGACTGTACCTTCATTTCAGTGTGGTAAAAATCGATTAACGTTGCTAATGAATCAAGTCCTAGGGTTTTTTTGTGTCCCCCCCATGTGGTACATGACTTTGCGGGGGTCCTGTCATACTGTACCCCTCACTTTAAAAACGAGGAACTGGCACGATGATGTTGGGGTGTTTTAAGGACCATGCAGAGTTGGATTTGACTTGCGCAAGGCCCCTGCCGTGCATTTGTAAGCTGACTGGTGAGTGTTCTCACATGGCCGCAGTGCCGGCCCCGACCACTGTCCTCCTGGACCTGCTCTTTCCTACTGTCTTTTTTCCAGACAGGTTTTTATAGCTGAAAACAACCAGCAAGCCTTTGATGACTGTGACCAAGGGGACTTTATTTTAAAGTTATCAGGTACAAATAATTGACCAGAGATGACGGAATTTGCATTCTTCTGCATAATTACTTTCTTCAGGGACAGCTTTTCCAGCCTAAGAAACCACCTGCCCTGTGTGTTCTCTCTCCGGGAGGCCACGGGAACGCCTCGCTGCCTTACCTGTCCTTCCTGGCGCTAAAAAGAGCTGTATTTTTGGAAGTGTTGGGGGTGAACAGAGGATCCCCCAAAGAACTGATGTGTGTTAAAAACCCAGTGAGGAACAATTGGTGATTTTTATGCAGAAACTAAATAATTCTTAATAAATAAATCTCTATTTTGGAATCACATCTGTGTGCTGTTTTGGTTCTCGAGTCTTTTTCTTCCTCGATCAGAGGTTACAGCTGGGAAGCAGCCAAGGTATAGAAAAAGCTGTTTTCTAGCGTTTGTGGTTTAAAAAAAATAGAACTGGTTGCCACATTTAGGAACTGGGGAAATTTCACATAGAAGTCTTGACTTCTAGCTTCCTTTGAAAACTCAGACTGCCTGGCAGGACCTGAGATGGCTGCCACCTTGGCCGGACAGGTTTAGGGGCGGATGTGTTCTCTGCTTTGCCTCTATTCCTACCAATCCCCGATGCACCCCCCCACCCCATGACCCATTGTGATTTGCACTTCATTATGGGCTGATGCTTTTTCTGATACTAGGGTTAAACGGAGAGGGACTATTCATCTCGCTTCATCCCTGCTCCCACAGAGCTAATAGTCTAGTGGGCAAGATGGACCAGTAAAGCAACAGCGAGGATTTAGAGCAGTCAATGCTGGAGGGAGCCTGGGGACATAGCTGGGGGGCCATGTCCTGGCATGGGGCATCTTCAGGAGTCCGGGCCTTGAAGGAAGGGTGGGGAGCTTGGCCGAGGAGATTGGGGCGAAGGCAAAGACCTGGTGGGTTGAGGCAGAGCAGGCTGTACGTGTATGTGTGTGTTATGTTACCAAGGGATTTGAACTTGACCTTGAAAATTACGCAACGCCTTCAAGGGTCTTGTGCACAACCCAGTCAAATACCCAGTGTCGAAGGCTCCCTCTCTTATGACCAAGGGATGGGCATTTGAACTGCATTTACTGTTTCTGGTGCAATTATGTGTTCTGATATTGCTGGTGGTAACAATACTACCAGTCTTTCTAAGCTCCAGCTGCTCTTTAAGTTTTTTTTTCCCTTTAGGATCTTCTAGAAATATAAAATTATGCCAACAAATTAAAAGAATTCTGCATTTCCCTTTAAAAAAGAACTTTTCTTCAGGTTGGTAACATTAATGAGACGGGGAAGGCAGTTTCTTTGCGGGAGGGCGGGATTTTCCCAGGACAACCTCCTTCACTCCTGGCACCTGCCAGGCCCCCGGGGGCACTCTGGGTCCCCAGAGACCAAGCCAGCAGGCATCTATGCCTTCCTATTTTATCCTTGCTCACGTTCTGCCTGGGCCAGGGAGGAAGGAACATACATTGAGCACCGGCCATGCTCCAGGCCCTGAACAAGCATTTAACATAGCTCATTGTACAACCACACTGAGAGGTGGGCGTCAGGAGCCCAGGGTGTTGGATGAGGAAACAACCCCCCACGAGTGGGGCCGTGAGAGGATCTGCCAGGGCGGCCCTGCCAGGGTGGAGGGGACCAGGTTTCACTTCTGACTCCCTGTCTCCCCTCAGCCACGTGCATGTCTGTCCCCACACACCCTCCTGCCAGGACAGCCTCACTGACCCAGGGGAATCCGATAGTGCCCGGAAGCCCAATGAGCCCTAAAAGTGGACAAGGGTTGACTCATTTATTGACTTGTTGATTCATTCATTATTACTCAAACCCCGCTGAGCAATAGTTCAAAAACATTACAATGATCTCAGTTACAAACAAGGGACTGAAGTTCACTCCACTGTAAAAAGAGGCTCAGTTTTCTTTTTTACGGCATGGGAATCTTGCTAATACCCCCCTCACAGGTTGTGAGGCTTAAATGCTACTGTTTGTAAAGCAGTTGGAAATGTCTGAAGCATAGCACGTTATCTTGGTAAGTGTTAAATAAAACTGCATGGATATATTCATGCGATGTGCGGTGTATGGTGACATGATAGAGTATCGGAGTCCTGGCTCTGCTGCTGAGTGGCTGAGTGGCCTTCGGCAAGTCACTTTGCCTCTGACCCTCTTTCCTCATTTGCACAATGAGGATCCTAATCTCCGCTAGTTCACCAAGAGTCAGTGAAACTGCCTGGGCAGGTGCTGGACTGCAGAATTGTCCAGTGTTGACCCAATAATCATCATTTCCAGGCGCTGGCGGATAGGCGAACGGAGAGGAAACATCCGTGAGCTTGTGATTTGGGTGGTGAGTTCCCTTGGTTCACGAGGGCCGCCTGCAGCTCCCGCAGGTCCCGGTAGGTGGCGCTGCCGGCACTGTGCTGCGGCCGCAGCCCCAGCCGGTCCGGGTCCCAGCACCCCAGCCTCCTGCTGCGGCGCGTTACCTTCCCTAACGTGTCGGTGGCGGTTTTCCCGGGGCTAAATGAGGAGCGCCATTTGAGCACATGTCGGGAAATTTTGGAGCATCTCAAACGGGTGCTCTGGACTTCCGACTTCAGGTCCACCTGTGTGCAGAGAACAAAGGTGTGTGTCCTGTGTTACTAGGGCTATTGCTACCGCTAGCCCTGCCGCCACCACCACCGCCACCTCGCAGTTCTTAGATCCAAGTGCGGGCTCTCTGACCTTGCAGCAGTGTGACCCAGGGCAGGTCAGTTCGCCACTCTGAGCCTCAGTTTCCACACCTGTAAAATGGGACAGGACCCCTTCTACTTTGCAGGGTTACATAAAATAATGTGTGTAAAATGCCTGACTCATAGAAGATGTTCAATAAATGGCTTTTGCTAGGATTCTTATTTATTGAGGCTATGGCCTGCCATGGGCTCCGGAAGGGGCAACCCCGCCCCAAATGTGGTTAAAGCGTAGCATGCGCACTTACTCCTGCTCTTAACGCTATGGCAGGGTCCATGCCAACTGTTGACAGGACACTCCAGGAAAGGCCACGCAGCCGGCTGCTCTTCCTCCCTTTGCCCTGATCTGCTGTGTGAGTCCTGTTGAGTCCTTTCCCCCTTCTGGGCTTCAGTGCTCTCGTCTATATCATCAGCGGACTGGACAGCTTAAAGTTCCTCCCAGCTCTGACAATCTACGATAGACACTGCTCATCACTGTAACCAGCCCCTGGTTTGTATTCATAATTCCAATACAGTCAGCACTCCATCCACAAGCAGGGACATGGGCCTCGCTTTGAGACACCTAATGAGGCCACATGTGCAAAACGCAAAGTGCAGGGCCTGGCACCTAGAAAGTGCTTCATAAAGGGCAGCTATGAAGATGATTAATCCTAATCACCTCTCAATTTAGCCCAGAGAGGACTGTCTGGAAGGTGAGTCGCTCACTCCTGTTTGCCAAGCACCCACATTTTGTGAGGCCCTGGGCTTGGTTCCTGCAGATAAGGCCCCGCCTTCCAAGGAGCTCAGGATCCCCTGGGAGAGATTTGGATGGGAGAGGGCTGGCTGGAGGGCCTCTCTGAGGAGGTGACATTGGAGCTGAGACCTGAAGGGGGAGAGAGAGCGGGGGATGGAAAGAGGTTGGATACAGCTAATGCCAAGGCCCTGCGGCGGGAAAGAAAGCCACACTAAGAACAGCCTCTAAGAGAGGCCAAAGTAGATGCAGCCTGGAGATCAAGGGCGGGGGAGGGGGGGCGGGGGAGGCGGGGCAGTGAGGAATGAAACCTAGAGATGCAGGGGCCAGTGTGAGCTTGTTTTTTGTTCTAAGAGCAGGAGAAGCCATAACAAGCCTCTATGAGTAGAGGGGGACAAAGCCAATTCACAGTTTAACAAGCTGTTAGCTAGGATCCTGGATTCAGAAAAGCGGCTCCCTCCCTCCTGACCCATTGTCTGCCTCTTCCTGGCTGGGGAAGCCAGGCCTTCATTACCTCCGCGTGGGGGCAGCGGGTCCCAGGCCTCTGGGAATGTCATGGGCCTGTCTCCAGAAAGGGCTCATTCGCCCGTCTTCCAGTTTCACTCACCCAGGACTTCCCTGGACCCCCAGTAGCCCACCCAGGACCCTGCTGAGTGATTGGGGGCCCCGCTGGCCCCCAGGCCTAGGCGCTGTCCTCCCTCTCTGGGCCTCAGCCTCAGACGGAGGCTATCTTTGACATGCCCACAGCGGGCCGGCTGTGGCCTGGCCACACCCACAGGCCTGGAGGCCTGCTGCCCGGAGGAAGATCTCAATCACAGCCAGTGGCGGGCAGCTGAGAGTGGCTGTGCCCATGACAACAGCCCTCGGCGGGGCAGGGCTTCCTCCGCACCTGGCCTCAGGTTTCTGCCCCAGGGAGAATTCCAGAGGAGCCTCGGTGAAGGTCCCTGGCAGGGCGAGGCCGCAGTCTCTGGGCCAGTCAGCTCTGTGCGGGACCCAGGTGCACAAACCAGCTGATGGTCTCCAGCCTCACTGTGTCCTGTCTCCACAGCTTCTTGGTAAATGTGGGGAGACATGATTTCAGGGGCGTTGCTGTCCCTTGGGGCAGGACCCCAGGGGAAGACCGTCAGACCCCACGTCCTGTGACTGTGTGGCCTGGGGCACGTCCCCTCACCTCTCTGAGTGTGCTTCCTCCCCTGTGGCTGGAGTGGATACTTGAGGATAAGGCCCCACGCAGCGCCTGGCACACAGCAAGGGCTGCGTGAATGCGCACACGCTGGCCCTGGGACTTCCCATACTCTCTTACCCTACTTGTCTCTTCTGTTTTTTTCTTCTCCTCGCCGTGACTTGAGCCTGTCTGTGGCACGCACTGGAGAAAGAGCAGAAGGGCCAACCAGAATTTCCACCCTCTCCCTCATGGCACACTCCCGATCCCATGTGGGTGGGCACCAGCAGGGCTTCCTGCGTCAGAGGTGAGGGGACTGAGGCACGTGGGGCAGTGCAAGGTGGCTGCTATAGGGGCTGGAGTGTGCCATTTAACTCCGATGGTCCTGGGTTCAAATCCTGCCTCTACCACCAGCAGGAACCACAGGCAAAGGGCTTTCACTTTGCGGAAACTCAGTTTGTCCATCTACACAAAGGGCCAGAGGAGACCCACCCCTCTGAGGGATGTGGGGAGGAGGGGCGGAGGTGCTGGCGTGCGGAAGGCTGAGAGGCCCAGGACTCCGTCCACATGGCGGTGTTGGCTGCACCCCTAACTCAGCCCCACTCCAGGCCCCGAGGGGGCCTGGGCACTAATTCTTGGCCTAAGCCGAGTTCTGGAGCTGCGAGGCCCCGGCTCGGCGAAGGCGGTGCCCATG